CTTGTTGATATTGACTTATCTTGCATAAGAGATTTATATATATAGCAATCATATGATAAATTATGTTTGGAAACCGTACCCTATGGAGATAAAAGTATTAGTTTGATCATGAGTGCATGTACTTTTCCATGAGCATGATCCAATTGTTATTTTATTCTATAACATCTTATTGGTTAGTCTATGCTATATAAACTAAGGTAATAAATTGCAGACTTTGAAAATAATTCATACTCTCTATATATATATAAAATATATACACCAAGAATTGACCACTACACTACGTGCAAGTGAAATGTATATAAAAAAATTGACCAATAGGAGAGTACTAACAAATTTGTTCATATAAATAGTTTTGAAATTTTCCTTAAAAATTTTTCAATTTATATACATATCCACATTTGTGATTTTACCTTTTTTTAATTAATTTTATTTTACAAGAAATTGGAATTTTTTTTAAATAAAATCTAATAATAACGTGGAGCTGAGACAGCTGTGAATATGCATAAATAGGCACCTATGTTGTGCTGCCACCATTCCTCGTAGAGAGAAAACACATTCGAAGCTACAGAAATATTATTATTAGGTTTTCAAAAAAAAAAAAAAGGAAAAGAAAAAAAAAAAGAAAAAGAAAAAGAAAAAAAAAAGTGATGGAGGAAGATCAAAAAACTGAGCAGCATTTTGTTTTCATGAACTATGACCCCGAATACGAAAGGCTTCGATCCAGCAAGTACGTTTAATTTCCCATTTACTATGTGTGTGTGTGTGTGTGTGTATATTCTGATAAATCTAATGTGTTTGTGTGTGTGTGTATGTATATATATATATATACATATATATATACATATATATATATGTAATATAATGAAAAAGAACAAAGAGAGGGGTGCATGAGCTAGATTTATACTTGAGTAGAAAACACGACGAGGTTTTGTCGAATAATCTCCGGCCAGGAACCTACTGCAAGACTCTCTCTTTGGTCATTGTTGATGCTTTTGCTGTTCAAATCTCAGATCATCAGGTATATTTATACATACATACATACATACATACATACATATATATACTTTGTGTATATAAATGTGTAGTTTTTTTCAATTATTAGGCGAATGTTCTTAGATCTGCAAAAGAAGTGAGGATTGTGGAGAAAAATCAAGAACTTGCGTAGCAATCGATCGATCGGTGTGTGGGATCGAGAAGACCGCATTTTAATCTGGTGGTGGTTTCGGAAAATAGAAAAATAATAAATTAGTAATGTATTATTGGCAAATATATATTAGCAATAAAGATTTGAACGTGGGAGAAGAAGTGTCATCAGAAAAAAAAATATTTCAGTACTAATTAATACTCCATATAGGTATTTAATTAATATTATATATATATGATATTCATCTCTTTCTGTGCAGGAGTACTACAAACTAAAATGTTTTGTAGTAATTTTATTTTTTAATCGCTTGTCCCCTTATTTGATGCATAAATATGTACTATTGTGGGATCGGCAACTAATTGGCATTAATTATTGATCAATTGAAATTTCTTGTGACAGAAGCATGCAAGCAATAAGCTGTTGTATATGTAATAAGAATACAGTACAACCTTGATAAATTAATATATCTATATCATGATATATGTTTACATATTTTACAGAAATCAATAAATTAAGAATGCAGAAGAAAACGAATGAAGTCATACATATGCATGGTTAATTCTAATCCGCAGTTCATTCACTCGACCGTGCATATGTATTTAACGGATCGATCGATGCCCGTGTGTTAAAGATTTATAAGACTAAACTACTCTTGGAAGATCTCTTATATATACTACAACATAACGTTAGGAAAAGGATTGTTAAATAGCAAACTTTGAACTCTCTCTCTCTCTCTCTCTCTCTCTCTCTCTCTCTCACTCTCTCACACTCTCACTCTCTCTAATAAAAACAACACACTACATCTCTTTTTTATTTTGGTCCTTAGACTTTTTCTGGCACGAAATTCTCTCTCTTTCACACACACACACACACAGAGAGAAACAAACAAGCAAGAAGATTCCTATAGAGCAATAATATTATAGTAGTACTGTAGAGTGGGTGAGGTGGGTTGATGTGATACATTTCATAAGATAAGCCATTGATGATAGAACTCCACTTTATCTAGTTAAGGTTACAATTTGAAACAAGACAACCAATTATTTACTGACACTTGTTCCATTTTTCAACAAAATTTCAAACACAAAGGCTGACATACGTGTGTGTGTGGGGGGCCGGGCCCCCCAATCTTTAGTACTCTCACATGCAGTGGTGCTAAATGAAAGAAACCCTTTTTTTTTTTTTTTTCTTTGTCCCTACACTTACATTATTAATATTCCCACCTTGTATGGCTCTAATCTCATCTTCTTGTCAATCTTTTTCTTTTTTTTTGAGCTCAACTTTTGGTGCCACGGGTGGTGGAACCAGTATAGGGTCAGAGGGGGCCATGAACCCCAACAATTTTTGAATCTCTATTTTTAATTTACGTGAAGGTCTAAAAACAATCGTGTATAATTAATAATATTGGATTCCGCGAACTTACAATTCTGGCTCTGTTAGTGGCCGTGCCGGTTGCCACCTAACTTTTTATAATTTTAATTTTCTCACCTTATTCTCACTGTGCCTGTGCTATTTATTTATTTATTTAATTTGCAATAAACTGGATCTGGTCGTGAATTTTTGTTTGACTTAAATTAATTTAATTTTAGACACCATAATTCATTTAATTAGTAATGGGTAAATTACAAACACCCCCCTGAGGTATGACAAAATTACAAAAACACCCCTCTTGTTTGGATAATTACAACCACCCCCCTCAACTCATCAAATTTAGTGGAATCTTCGAGATTATATGGAATATTATCACTTTTGTACCCGTTTTATCCCATTCAAACTCTACATTATGAAGCAAGATGACCATAATATGTGATTTTTAGCTTGTATATATCAGTTTGTGGTGCATCGAAAACTGTATTTTTTACACAAAGAGTACAAACTAGAGCACATTTCACGGAATCTAGATGACTATGTCGAATTTGGCACCATAAAGGTAAGAAAAAATCATAGTTGAGGGGGGTAGATGTAATTATCCAAACAAGAGGGGTTTTTTTGTAATTTAACCATACCTCAGGGGGGTGTTTGTAATTTACCCATTAGTAATTAACTACCTTTGACCTCGTGAATGACACACACACGTGTGTAATGAACAATGTTCTGATACATACTTCTGCACTGGTGAAGTTTGCTCGTGTGATCCAGTCTTGGTCGCGCTTACGTTTTATATTATATTGGTCGAAAATACAATCTTTAGTATAATTACACTTCTTAATTTATTATACTCCATAAATATATTATTAAAGCCCATTATTGTAATATTATCAAAGAAGGTTGGCCCAATAAAACACTGGGTACATCAAATTATCGGCCCAATTTGAGGCATAAATTCGCTTCGATTTTCTTTTTTCTCTTTTCATATTTTATTATTTTCGGTTAAATACAAAAACACCACTATACTACGGACTTTTGTATCATATACCCCCTTGTACTACACATAAATACAAAAACCCCCCTACTGTTACATTTTTCAACGAAATTACCCCTGCTAAAGCATATATATATATAGGTTTGTTTGAGCCATTTTCCATTATGTATTTTTTACCATTTTCGGTCAATTTTACTTGGGAAATTTTGGTACTTATATTATTTTCTCCAAAACATCTAATTTCTTAGATTTTTTTAATTTTCTGAATAAAACCTTTTATTTTTGCCATTTTGAGTTTCTTCATTTTTTTTCTTAAATGTCTTCCGGTAGTTCAAACATCCTAAGATTACAAACATCTTTACAATTCTATGATTGTTGAGAATTTGAACTATCGATAGACATTTAAGAAAAAAATGAAGTTATTCAAATTGACAAAAATAAAAGGTTATATTCAGAAAATAAAATAAAAAATCTAAGCAATTAGATGTTTTGTAGAAAAAAATAAAAATACCAACATTTCCCAAGTAAAATTGACCGAAAATGTTAAAAAATATAGTGGGAAATGGCTCAAACAAACCCTTATATTTATAGACTTTAGCAGGAGTATTTTCGTCAGATTTTGGAAAAATGTAACAGTAGGGGGGTTTTTGTATTTATGTATAGTACATGATGTATGTGATAACGAAGTCCATTATTTTCACCCAGTTTTCTTTGGCGCGAAAATCAACTCCTCTGTTAAAACAAAATTAGGGCTTCGGATTGAATTCAGTTGTCGAAGAAATCCTACTCTGTAAGTTGCTTTTGAGCTCAGAATGGTGACCACGCGCTCCTCAAAGCGAAAGCGCGTGAATCAGAGCGACCCTGGAAAAGAAGAGGTGGAAGAAGAACAACCACCACAACAAGGGTTTGATGAAAATAGTGAAAAAACGACGGATACAACGGCGAAAGAGGAGAAGAAAATGGAATCTCCGGTGGTGGTACTTGCCCATGGGGCCGGGGCTCCTTCCTCCACCGATTGGATGGTCAGGTGACGTTTTGCTTCAATCCATCTCCGTAATGCACGTGTGTTTCTGCGTGTGGATTTATTGTGGCGAATTTTTTGGTTATGAAATTCAGAGGTTAAATTTGTTGTGTTGGTTGAATGAAAGTGAGTGCGGCGAATCAATTTGATATTTATATGTTCTTTAGCTGAGCTAGAAATTGTGCGTTCCTATATTTTAATGTTAATCTGAAATTCTCGAATCTGAAGCTGTTTAACTTTCTGGATCCAAATATATTGCCCGAACTATTACCGAAATCGAAGTATTTTGTGTGCCTGTGGTGATTCTGTTCACATATCGAGCTTGATGTTTTGATTCGTGTTGTTTTCAAAGACTAATTATATGAAGTCATCAAATAATTTTTTCCTTAGTTTTTAATAGTAACTCGATACTTCGGGCAGGTGGAAAGCTATGTTGGCCAAGGCACTAAATGCTGTTGAAGTAGTAACTTTCGACTACCCTTGTGAGTACATGCTTTTTTTCTTCCTCTTCTTTAATTTGTGCAATTGTTCGTACATAAACGAACTCGTGGATTTTCGTATTGAGTTGTTGCGTTGTTATTTGTTAGCAGATATTGCTGGAGGGAAGCGAAGGGCTCCTTCAAAAGCTGAAAAATTGGTCGATTTTCACTGTGAACTTGTGAGAAAGACGGTGGCTAAGTACCCTGGGCATCCACTAGTTTTGGCGGGAAAGTCCATGGGATCGAGGTAATGGTTGTCGTTGTTTTCTTCATTACAGGGACTTTATTGTCGTGTAAAGTCGTCGCTTTATAGATTCTTTCATGTTTCAATATCCAGAGTCAGCTGTATGGTTGCTGGCGAAGAAGATGTCTCTGCTTCAGCTATAGTTTGTCTTGGTTACCCACTAAAGGTTTGACATTTTAACCGTAGTTAGTGTTATTACGTAGCGTAGCTATCTTGCTATGATGCTCTTGCCGTAATACCTATAAAAGTATTTTTTTTATTTTTTTTGTGAATTATGTATTTTCACACTAGATAGAAGCAAAGCCGGTCGTAGTGTTTGCTAGTTATGCCTCTGATCAGTCGGTTAATTTTTACAAATACACAAACAAAAAGTGCGGATGTGAGTTAGATTTTAGAATTTTCGTCCGGATCATTTTAGATATGATGCTCATGCAATCAAGATTTAATACAAGAATTTGGTAAATTACCAAAACCCCCTGAAGTCTGAACTAAGGTCTAATTACCGAAAAACCCTCAATATTGTCTCGTGGTTCCTGTCGATGTGAATCGTTGTAGTAATTTTCATGTATATAGCATATTTCTTTACTTAATCTGCTATATTTTAGGGCGTGAATGGTGCAGTACGTGATGAGACTCTACTGCGACTTTCGGCCCCGGTAATGTTTGTCCAGGTAAATTCATTATAAGTAGTTTCTTGTGTTAAAAACTGATTACTGCTCAATATTTGGAAAGTTCATTTTATATCTTCTACTGAACTCAAATTGCAATCTCTCAGTTTCGTTTTTGCATGATGTTTTTTTTTTCCTCGAAGGGTAGCAAAGACGGGCTTTGTCCACTAGAAAAATTGGAAGCTGTAAGAAAGAAAATGAATTCCGTAAATGAATTGCATGTGATTGAAGGGGGCGACCACTCTTTCAAAATCGGAAAAAAGCATCTACAATCTACAGGAACCAATCAAGAAGAAGCAGAAGATCAAGCTGTTC